GATTACTCCAGTCGCCATGCGAGTGATAAGCGATGAAGCTTCAATGAACATTGACAGCTTACACACAAGTCAATTAGTATTTTAATTTCCTCTTAATGTATTAATCATAATTGGTATATCTCCTTTCTCCCCCCTGCCAAATGCTCACTTCTTGTCACGGTTCTCTAACTGCCTCTAAATCCCAGCCAGCCAGCTCCCCAGTCCCCCAGCGCTCTAATCTCCGACCCCCCCTTCCTCTTTCTTCATTCCCCAGACCCATCATGCTTTCTTTTTGAAAAACCCTGTAATCTTCGACATCCCTCTAGTATTGACTTTAGATAACTCTTTCACACCTCTACTAACATTCTTCGCCTTCTTTTTCTCCTCTTCTTCCAGCTTTCTCTTTTTCTCCGCCCGTCCATCAATCTCCTCATCTGCATTCCGTCTCTTCATTGAAAAGTCACCTTGCCTCGCTGCAGCCGCGTCTGTGCGGAGCTTTTTAAGTTCCTCTAGGTAGGAGTCAAGCTTAGTGAAGTCGTGAAGGGTAGATAAATGGACTTGGAGTAAAGCGGTGATGTGTGTAGGGATGTAAAGTGAACTAAGGAAGTTAAAAGAAACACGGAGACGGAGGAGTTGGAGAATAACTGGATCGGTGGTTTGTTGGGTTGTAACTTGAGTCTCAGCAATCTTCGTTTCTTCAATTTTTGCTGTGACTTCGGTCACACCTGTCATGCTGACATCCATCCTCTCCGTAACCTCCTTTGTAACCCCCTCTTTAACCTCCACCGTAGTGGCCGTAGTTTTGGCAAGCGTAACCTCCGTCACTGGCCTTACTAGAGGTTTCTTAACATATTCTTCCTCCAGACTAGATGGTAGATTTTCCGCCATTTTAACACATTTCTTGGCCAATAGTTTCAAGACTTTGTCTTGTGATACTCTGTATGCGGGTTCTCCACCAGCATCCACGCTATCGCAGATGGATTGAAGGCGGCGAGAGATGTGGGTATGTGTGATATTGCCTAAAGCTGTGAGGGCGGAAAAATCGGAACCTTGTTCGAGAAGTTCGAGGGAGTCGAGGAGGTCCTGAAGGGGGAGGTAGGAGGAGAGTTGTTTTTTGGTGCTTTCGGGGAGCAATAAAGGAATGAGAAGGAACAATGGGTCGAATGGAGTGGCGATGTAGAGGGTGCCTTCGGAAATTAGTTGGCCTTCGTTGATCCATTCAGTCGAGTTATCCGTCGAGTCTTCGGAGGTGATAAGCCATGATTTCGGTTGGCTAGATGGAGTAGAGACGGCGGTGAGCTCGTGGAGTCCTGAGGTTGGATGTATTACGAATTTTGCGAGGGTTTTTGTTCGTGGGTGGGGTAGGGTGAAGATTTTGAGGGTTTCTGAGGATGTCGTGGACGGGAGGAGGACGACTTTGGGACGAGCCATCGCTGGTGGTTGGAAATTGTGAGTCCTCGGAGGAGCCTGGTGAGGACCTTGGAGGACGCGACGCGACGAAACTACGACGCGCTTCTTTCGACTTGGCATCTTACGCGGTTTTCGCGTTGGCACTAATGAGATGCCTTAAAACTCTCTGTTGCAAATGCCAATTCTTCTGGCTTCAGTTTACTTTCACATTTGCGGTTTCTTCAACAGAAATTGGGAATTATACTCTCCTGAACGGAAGCTCAACGGCATCCGAACTGCTCAACGGCGAAACAATTTGAAGAGCTCAGTTATCAGTCTTGGCGCGACAACACACCCCTGCTCACCAAACATCTATCCAACGAACAGCGCATAGCGTTGAAGTAGTTCACTACAATCATCACGGAGCACCATGTCGGCGAACAAAGGTACACTGAAACATCAGCCAATATCCTAACCCCGCGTCTAACATAGATAGATATTGTGTGGCCACCTCAAACAACTCAAGATGTCCTGAACCTCACTCCCCGGAAGAACCGCGTTCAGCACTTTAGCCCCGCAAATCCTCCCACCTCTCCTTCACCTCTCCGAAGATCCACAGGCCCAAAAATGATGGATGACGGCCCCTCAGACGACGGTAGCGACACAGATGAAGATGAAGAACTGCTAAAGCTAAAATTGGCACGAATTGAAGCAAAACTAAAGCTTAAAAAGCTTCAGCGCCAACAGCAGAAGAAGAAGCAAGTCCCCAGCGCAGCCTCAATAGCAGCAGCTTCAGCAGTAGAACAGCAAAAGAAGGCCGAAGCTCAAATACAAGTTCCGGTATCCCCATCGGCAAAACAAATTCTAGCACAAGCACCTCCGTCTCCGAAATCTCCTTCTAGAGTTCTGCTCGGTATCGATCGTGGTCTTACGGGAAAGGATGTCTCTCTACGTCGCGCGCCGCAGTATAGAAAACAGCCGCCGCCGGTAGCACGAGCTCCCTCGCCTCCTAGACCTGCTAAAACATTCTCGCAGAGATTAGCGGAGGAAAGATCAAAGGATAAACAAGCCGCCGAAAAGAAACAGCATATCGCGTCTACCCGCAGCAAAGGATTCGGTCTGGAAGACAGCCCCTCAACCAACCGTACCTCTCGGCCGGTATCATGGGATTCAAAAACTACCGGATCCCTATCGCTAGATTCTGCACGTCCTTCATCCCGAGACTCCTCCGTCTCCACTGCCGCAGCTCAAAAAGCCACCCATTCCTTCACCTCCATGTTAGATTCCGGTAAAGAACCCCCCAAAACCAATATGTCGGCCTCGTTCTCGTTCGGTACAACTTCTACAGTTTTCACCGGGGTACCTACAGCAGTTTCACAGTCTTTCAGCGGTGTACCATCTCAAAGAATTCTTCCCGTTAGACCCTCTACTGCACCCTCGGAGCCGACCTACACCAAGGACAAAGAGGAATCTACCGATGAAGCCGGCTTCGATAGCTTTTCTGGCCTACATCTATCCCGTCGTACAACCCCCCATGCTACCGTCACCCGCCATCTAAGCAATAAAACTGTCTACCAGCTTCCACAACTCTTAAAGATTGTTGTATCCCCTAGTTACGAGCCACCGGATGTAGAAGGTGATTGGGTTGTCTTAGCAATCATTTGCAGCAAATCCGATCCTCGTGCAGTTGGTCAAAACACGACCTCTGAAAAAACCGGTAAAAAATACATGGTAATGCAATTAACGGATCTTAAATGGGAGATAGAGCTTTTCTTATTTGGAGCCGGGTTTGAACGTTTCTGGAAGCTCCCTGTGGGTACAGTAATAGCCTTACTTAACCCTGGGGTTATGAAACCTCGTAACAACGACTCTGGAAAGTTCTCCCTCACTATTACGGATGATTCTGCGGATTGTGTTTTGGAAATTGGTGCTGCTAGAGACCTTGGGTTTTGTAGAACTACCAAGAGAGACGGGAAGCAGTGTAATACTTGGATTGACAAACGACATACCTCGTTTTGTGCTTTCCATGTAGAACAGACGGTTAAGAAGGCTCGTTCTGCCAGGGCGGAGGTATCTTCTATGACGGCAATGTTTTCGCCACCTAAAAAGGGGACTGTTAAACCCCGGAAATTTTTCGGTGGTCGAGGGGGTGGCAGGGGGCAGGATAATGGCCTACTAAATGAGGGCCCGATTATGGATATGCCGCAGCGCATGGGCGGCGCTGGTGGAGCCGTCTATGTTGCGCCGGGAAGATCAACTGCGCAGTTATTGGATGATGATGATTACCTAGCTAGTAACTTCAGATCAGCAGGAGGGACGAAGGAGGAACGCCTGCATAGGAGGCTGGAGGAAGGGAAGAGGGAGAGAGAGTTGACGAAGAGGATTATTGAATCACAGGGCCGGGATGGCGGATTGGGAGCGCAGTATCTCAAGGCCCGTATTGGGGAGACGGAAGAGGGGAAGAAGGCGACGAAGGCGGCAGCAGAGAGTAGGAAGCAGGTGAGTTACTTTTTTTCAACCCCCCAACGACCCTTGGAAGGCTGTTTGTGGGTTGTCGGCAGGTATGGAGGCACTGTAGGCTAACAGAATGATAGGCATCAGAAGCATTAGCCTCACTACGTTCGAAAGCACAGTCGGCCAGGGATGTCAAGTTGTCTCCAATAAGACGGAAACGCTCAGGAGCAGACCTTCAGCCGGTGATGAAGAAGACGAGGTTTAAGGTGCCAGATGACAGTGATGATGAGTTGGATATTGTGCATGAATGACACATGTGAGATGTAATGATAAGTTGTGACGATTCGGTTATGAGGTGGAGTTTATGGAGTTTATGTTGCTTTTTTTTTTTTCTAGAGTGGGATTTAGGGAGGACTTCAGGAACAAGTATGATACCTATGAAGATTAAATTATTTGTATGACGGATGAGTTATTGGATTATTGGATTGATGAACGGCGGAAGAAATTGAATAATACATAATGATCATAGATCATGAAGACAATTCTCCAAATTATTTTTCCCATGAAGCGTTGCAAGTTGCAACCCTACAAATAGCATAATACGAATTCGTAAACCTAACGCCCACCCACACTAGTTCAACCAGATCGCCCAGGGCTCAGGGCTACGGAACGTCCCGTCGATAGAGTACAGCCTCCTCAGATGGGATGGGGTTTAGATCTCTTTTAGGGTCCCCCTAGAGGTTATTTGGTACTACTCCCCCACGGGCCGCACCCCCGACACCCCAGTACAATTTTCTTTTCTTCGGCTCTGAGTTTTCTTCTCTGTGTCTCCTCTCCCTCTTCTCACTTCACTCACTTTGTGACGTTCTTTCTGAGGTTTTGTTGCTTTCCTTCATCGCTGTTTTGGTTGTTGAAAATTTTCTTCAGCGCTTGCTCCTTCACTAGCAGGGTCTCTTTCTACCCTTTCCGCTTTGCCTAATATTCCATTCCCCGGCATATTTCTCTCTATCTACTCCCTCCCACACTCCGCTTTATTAATTACAGTGCTGCGGTATCGGTGTAATAGCACATGGCAAAGGTCGGAGTGGTGTCACGCTCGACTCATCAAAGACACAGTCGATACACAACTATCAACTGATAGCTCACAGCACTCAAAACTCATGTGATGACATCAGGAAACTCCTGTGGCGCAGTGGTTAGCGCGCCGTTCTTATATGGGAACCTGGGTAACCAGATCTTGTATGACTCGCTATGCGGATGTCCAGGGTTCGACCCCCTGCAGGAGTAATTTTTTGTTTTTCACGGGTATTTTTTGAACTGTTGGCTGCGCCGCAAGAGATGAGGAAGGGTAATAGGATGAGTGGAGAAGTGCAATTGAAGGGGCAACTTTTCACATCAAAATTACTAAGGGATGAGATGAGATGGTAGAGATGGCGGTGGATTGAGGGAATGCATAACACATTACATCTTTATGCATCTATCAGTGCTGGTGGGTATCATTGGCACTATGAAGGCGCTACAGGCCCGCAGAGGTTGAACTGGGTGACAGTAGTAGCTAATCCAGCTGTGGATGATGCAAATGCACCCCACCTCCAGGAGGGGGCAATGGAATGGGATTAAGCTGTGATGGAGTTAGGTAGTTTATGCATCCTAAAAGGTCTATTGATCTTGATAATGTCTTGTAGATGTGGTTGAAGATAGAAATTTGATAAAGACCAAAGAGTGATGAAGCCGGGATATGGTTCACGCACCTCGTAACTTCAAGGCAGAGAGGTCCTGCTTGATTGATAGGTAAGATGTTGATGGAATAATTTAGATCTGGTGACGTAGAGACGGTTGAATTCTTCGAAACCCAGAGAAATGTGATAAGAAGTAAGTGGGAGAGGAATTTGTGCTTTTCTCATAGCACGTGAGGATAAACCCCTGAAAATGGGCGGGATGTATTATGAGATTTCTGTCATACTAATAGTAGATTTGTAGTGATGGATACAGAATAGTAAATTTAAGTTTAAACTATGTATGTATATGGAGTCAAATGTCCACGGAATTTTGCCTAATTATAATAACTCGAATCATGCACATTGCGTTTTCAAAAGGATCTCGATAGTAATGCTATTCTGATACCCATGATCCCCCCACTATCTCTGTAGTTCCGAACTGGTTTCAAATTCACAGAAAAACCCAGTGTTTATCAATTAAGCTGACCTAGCATGGCTTCGGCCTGATATCCAAAGCCTCAGCTGTTTGTATTTTCAAAGTCTTAGGTTCGGGCGTCTGTTGGAGTGCTTTCGGCTTCTCAGGAGATTCAGCAATCATTCTTTTGAAATTATTCGTGTGCGTAGTAAATTCCAGATTTCGTCTCGCAATTGCCCGTTATTACAACCTTTATGTAAGCACGTAGGGCAATACCAGGTTGGGGTTGGCATCTTGCCGAACCACTATTATCACTACCCAGGCGTTATCTCAGGCAGCCGAAAGTGGACTGGTTGAAACAAATAACATAGGTGATGGCTCCCTCACCAGGACTGTTACTTGAAAAAATAGAACCAGACTTTTCGATAAATTAACGATGCAATTTTTTCTCTATTGTAATACAAATGCCTAAGCAGAAAGCATGAGAAAACCCCTCCCCTCCAGTACCTAAAATGCCCCAACAGAACAAAAAAACAGAACAAAAAAAGTAAACCGCCACTCTGTAAGATTAAAACCAGAACTATGAATAGAAATTCCCCCTATTACAATACAAAAGATACACAAATTAATCGTAGCAATACTGCTCTATCGGTGAGTAGAGCCCCTCAGTAAGCATTCATGTAGATAACCATGGCATGCAAGTTAGTAACCAGGACCACACTGAGTAAATTTTTTAAACGCACTAAATGCGCTTATGATTCTTATGATGAAAGAGTGGGCGGGCTCTTCTCAAAACGAATCGATCTCTCCTGTACATACTGATGGGGTATCCATCTTCTTCATCATACCAGATCTCATTCAAAATCCTGTAAGACTTGCTCACAGCACCGCACTGAACGCAAACCACGCGCGGTACAGAGTTTTGGTAGGAAACGGTAAAGTCGTTGCGACGCTCCCTCCAGCATTTGTTATGAGCAGGTAGGCAGCAGCATTCGAACAAAATGCGGCACCAGTCTTTGTGTGCTGGCCATTTATCGAAGGGACCGTCGCAGAGTAAACATTTCTCTGCAAGTGGTCTAGGGATACAACGTCCGTTTTGTTTGAGCGTCATGCACTGCTTGGAATCCTTGGTTGATTCGGACTTCGGATCCTCGACAGGTCCGGGCTCCTCCGGTGATTGATGTTTCTGGGGATCAGAAACTAACATGGTATCACTGGTGTACGGCAGTTGGTCCTCTGTGGTTGCGTTTGTTGAATGCGGGTAATGATAGGGTTGGGTTGAATACAGGCTGTTGATGAACCGTAAAAGTTGGAGGGTTCACAGTGGAGTGGGTGAGTAGGTGCCTTGGATGATTGTGATTGTGCGGGTCTGAATGTATTTAAACTGTACGCAGCTCAGCTGGACGTGTTTGATGGAGAAAAAATTTTCATTTGAGAGAAGGGGTCGAAGCATCGTGAACCTCTGCTGGGGTCGAGCATTGACCAGCGAGTAAGAAGCCATGATGAAAGCTACTGCAACAGTATAAGCTTCGGTGATGCATGTCACGTTACTCCAACAACCTAACGCAAAAAGGCGGGCCTTGATTACGTGCATACCACAGTTCCCGCAATGCACACTGCTAAACTGTTTCCAGTGGTCATGACAAGGAATACGGCTACATATCCACCTGATCTCCCTCAACCAAGAAGCCCAGACTCGTCTGGTTAAAGCTAAAACACTTCTACGTGCTGTTTTTTTTTACCGAATATCGTCGATAAATTTTCCTTTACTTTTGATTTAAATGCACGAGTAAGTTTGATCGAACAGTTGGCCCACTCTGCTTCAACCTTGTTGGTTGGCAGAACAGAGGGCCTTTTTTGCGTTAGGCATATTGAGTTAGCGTAGTGTATCTAGTGATCGCACTGCTTTATGACCACCGCTTGACTACTGGGTATTATGACGTAATCTGCTAACAAACCCCAACTCTATTCTCACGTCGACTTTGGACTTCCCTGTCCCCCTAGGATACAGAGGATATCTATCATACGGGATCAATCCAAAACTGAGCCGTCGATCTTTTCCACTCGAGCAGCACAATTCCCGCGAGTACTCCTACGACAGAGCGACTCAAATATTAAAGCCGGACTCAACCATGTTCAGATTGTATCTTCTTCGGAACCGTTACAGTAGTTGAGTACAAATATTCATATCGGATCACTCGGGGGTACTTCTGTTTCAGTTTCAGTTTTCTTTTCACGTCTACAGTATCCATAGTCGAATCAATGGCTTCAGAGACTTCTTCAAGACTGTCACTTATATCTTCGTTTCTCATTTCTACCACTGATTCGAGTGATTTCCATCTCTCCAGTGCTCCAAGGGAGCTCGCCAGGGTCGTCGGTTCGCGGCCGCTAACGACTGATGTAATTGTGCCGATTCATGGCTTCCTTTCGCCACGATAAGATGGTACTTACACTTTGAATTACACTGCTATTAATGCGGGACTACCATGAGGCAAAGCCGGTTGTCATTGGTGCCGAAAACGTGCGTACGCCATGTGTTGGGTTGGATTTCACACGATTATTCCTGGTTTGGGGCGACCAGACGGCGTAATCCTCTCTACTGATAACAAAGCTAACAAGCATCACATAACGGCTTCTTGGAAAACAAAGCATGAAACATACCTACCGGCAAGAAGCGGAAGAAGAAATACTTCGCTAGAAGCATATCCAAGCGGCACATGGACGACAAATTGCCACTAAGCGACCTAAGCGATCTAGTACAGCACTGCCGCCAATTCAATGGGCTATTGCCCGTTCCAAGCGACTTGTCCTCATCGCGGATACCGAGAAGGTTGTTAGAGTTATTTGATACCACCCAACGCCTGCCGGAGAAGTACAAGACCATGGTACCGCCGTACAACTACCGGTGGTACGATAAGACTATATCATCACGTCATAAGAAGAAAACATCCGCTTTACGATCCCCGCCTATGTACACGGTGGCTACTTCCTAGGGTCCAATTGTCTATATAAACCCCTCGTTCCACCCCCGACTTTTTGTTCTTCAGCTTTCTGGTCGTCACCCCCCCCCCCCCCAGCGGATTATGCAGTCACATGCTAACGCTCCCTTAGCCTTAGGTTGCTTTCAATTACTGTTATCAAACACCTGATTAAGTTGCGGGTATCCCCTCTTGAGAATATATATTCGACTAGGTTCGGGTACCCAATTGGGAATATTTTGGAGAAGCCCAGACAACGAAGTTGCGATTGTACTGGTTAAAGCCAAAACAAAACCGGCCATATTATTACCAATTTACTGGAGAATCTCCTATGATTCTATTGGGCCGGAGAGGAAGCAGCAGACTTCCCAAGCATACAAACCAGTTCAACCTGGCAGCACAACCGGACTGTACGGAATGTTAGAATATGACGACCGTACAGGGACATAAACCAGTTTACTTCAAGCAGTATCATCTGGTTAAACTGCACAAACCGGTTAAAGCGAATGAAAGCTCTTTCAAACCAGGCAAAAGACTTGAAAGCGCGGAAACTGGTTTTTCCAGCGGAACTGGTCTATGAAGCGGCAAAGAATGCCATTATGCGGTAGTGTGATGCACGCTCTATTATCACGTCATAAGAAAATCTATCCGCTTTCCGAGCCCCGCTCAACTTCGCAGTGACTACCTCTTGGAGTGCAATTGTTCTATATAAACCCCCTATTCCACCCCCGGCTTTTGGTTCTTCAGTTTTCTGGTCGTCCTTCAGCTCGCCCCCCCTCCCCCCCCAAGCAGATTATACGATCTATTACTAACCTTGGACTTAGGTTGCTTTCCATTGCTTTTATCAAACACCTGATTAAGTTGCGGGTATCCCCTCTTGGGAATATATATTCGATTAGGTTCGGGTACCCAACTGGGAATCTTTTGGAGAAGCCCAGACAACGAAATTGCGATTGTACTGGTTAAAGCCGAAAAGAAAATATACCTCTATATAAAACCCCAGCCCACCCCGACTTTTTGTTCTTCAGTCTTCTGGTCGTCCTTCAGCCCGCCCCCCCCCCCCCCCCCCCACCCCCTTCCCCCCGAGCAGATTATGCGGTCTATTACTAACCTTAGACTTAGGTTGATTTCCATTACTTTTATCAAACACCTGATTAAGTTGCGGGCACCCCCTCT